GTCTATCATCTACCCTGTTAACTATCAAATCTATCGATCTATTTATCAATTTATCTATCATCTCCCCCCCCTCTCTCTTTATCTAAATGACACATGCCTCACACCCACATCAGCAAAAAGGTGTTGGAAAAATAAAGTTACAATCTAGGGGTTGTGGGGGGGGGGGCTCAACATTTGGCAGGTGAATAATGGAGAAGCTGTTGCAGAGAGCAGTTCATATTGTTAACGTTTCCGTGCTGATCCTTGCTGTCTCCCCTTTCAATCCTTTGCAGAAAATATCTCAAAAACCTTTCAACGCGAAGAAGGATAATTTGCTTTAAATTCAATGAAATTAGGTCCCAGGATCAGAGGCGTAACACAGGCCCTCCCATCCAGAATCCCTGTTCTTTAAATTTAAAGTGGCAAGCTGTTCCACAGGACAACCTGTAGTGCCAATGTTTCCCGGTCTCAGCCAAGAGGCCTGGACTTTAATTCCCAGAATTCCCCAAGCTGCCTGGGGAAATCCGTCCAGCCACGCTTCCAAACCCCTTAAAATCAGCCGAAATAATTCCAAGAGAAACCTGGAAGAAATTCTAAACCTTCCAGAGAATAAAGTGGAAAAACAGAAGCTTCTCTTATCAATCTCTACATTGAGAGATTGAGGCCTATAAACATCGTGGTTTATAGGCCTCAAACAGGCTCTTCAACCACCTCCTGACCCACTGAAACCCCTATGCCTGCCCCCTTTGTGTGGGTCCAACCAAGGCACAACTTTGGGGCTACTAAGAGATAACCAAAGGCAATTTCTTCCCTGTTTCATGTTGTCTCTGCCTTTCCGCCAGGTTATGCCCACCGGCAGTGTGACTTAAATGGCAGCTGGGCATTGGTGCCCAACCAAAATCTCACCTGGGCGAACTACACCGAGTGTGCCAAATTCCTCGACCTTGCAACCCCTCAAAACGTGAGTGGCGACCCGGGTGAGAAGGAGAAGGTCTGAATTTCATCCATCCATTTATTTATAATCTTTATTTATTTACATATAAACAGTCTAAGTACAATCTTTATTTACTCATAAATTACTTGCTTACAACCTTTATTTATTCATAAATTATTTCTTTGTAATAATGTCTGTTTATTCATCGATTATTTACTTGCAATCTTTCTTCCTTTATTCTTCAATTATTTATTAAGAATCTTTACGGATTCGTTTGCGAACTGGCCTCCAGAAATTGCGGGTGCTCCGTCACTCACAATGATGGAGACTTTTCAGGACGAGATTGGACAATTGTTCATCTGAAATGGTTCAAGATCTCCTGCTTGGCCAGGGGAGTGGGGGGGTGGACTAGAAGACCTTCAAGGTCCCTTCCGACTCTGTTATTCTATTACGTATTTATAATCTAAATTAATTAATTACATTTATTTAATTATCCCATCTCTCATGCCTAAGACAGGACTAGAACTCCCCGTCTCCTGGTAATTGGCCCAAAGTCTCCCAGTTACCTTTCATGCCTAAGGCGGGACTATAACTCCCAGTCTCCTGGTGATTGGCCCAAAGTCTCCCGGTTGGCTTTCGTGCCTAAGGCGGGACTAGAATTCCCTGTCTCCTGGTGATTGGCCCAAAGTCTCCCAGTTGCCTTTTGTGCCTAAGGCGGGACTAGACCTCACTGTCTCCTGGTGATTGGCCCAAAGTCTCCCGGTTGGCTTTCGTGCCTAAGCCGGGACTAGAATTCCCGGTCTCCTGGTTTCTAAACCATTACAACAAACTGGCTCAGATCTAGGTGCAGAACTGGTCCTGATTCAGCATAGCCCCAAAGTAGCTTCAAACCTTCACGCAATACAAAAGTGTGAACAAAACAAGACACTTAATGCTGTCCCCTCTGGCCATGATTAAGTGTTGATTATGGCTTCGGAGCACCTCATTAACTTCCATTATTGGTTTATTAACCCCTACCCCCAGGGTTTAGCGTGCCAGTTAATAAAAACAGTTCCTCAATTACATTTTGTAAGGCATCCTTGGTCTGTTGGAATGGTATCTATGCATAATGCATTCAATTACAGGCAGTCCTAGACTTACAACCGCAACTGGGACCGGAATGTGAATTGCTAAGTGAGGTAGTTGTTAAGTGAGTCAAACCTGCAGTTGTTAAATCAATCAGGTGTCATTAAGCAAATCTTCTTCCCCCATTGACTTGTGGGAAACAGCTAGGAAGATTACAAACGTCAAACATGTAACACCTAGTCACCCAGCTGCCTTTCGTGTTTAAAGTGGGACTAGAACTCCCCGTCTCCTGGTGATTGGCCCAAAGTCTCCCAGTTACCTTTCGTGCCTAAGGCGGGACTAGAACTCACCATCTCCTGGTGATTGGCCCAAAATCACCCAGCTGCTTTTCGTGTTTAAAGTGGGACTAGAACTCCCCGTCTCCTGGTGATTGGCTCAAAGTCACCCAGCCAGCTTTCATGTCTAAGGCAGGACTAGAACTCACGGTCTCCTGGTGATTGGCCCAAAGTCACCCAGCTGCCTTTCATGCCTAAGGCGGGACTAGAACTCCCCGTCTCCTGGTGATTGGCTCAAAGTCTCCCAGTTACCTTTCGTGCCTAAGGCGGGACTAGAACTCACCGTCTCCTGGTGATTGGCCCAAAGCCAGCCAGCCGGCTTCATTCAATGCTGGCTGGGGAATTCTGGGAACTGAAGTCCACCCATCTTAGGTTGACAAACGCATCTCTGCACATCCCTTCTGTGTGTTGCAGGACGTCTTTCATCGACTTTATCTGATTTATACCGTTGGTTATTCCATCTCGCTGGGATCGCTGACAATCGCGGTTATGATCTTAGCATATTTCCGGTAAGTTGGCGCCATGGCTAGTAGACCCCCTTTTTTCTGTGAGGTTTGCTAAGGAGGTCAAAAAAGTCAAAATGGCAGCTACAGCAATGCCAATTCCCCAGCCCTTGCGAAGGTCCATCCATCCCGTCACATGTCCAAGCAAAGAGGCAAGGCTTCCATTGCACTGTATTTACAACCATAGATTCCTAGAACCCTAAAGGCTGGAAGGGACTTGGAGGTCATCTAGTCCAACCCTTTGCCCAAGGCAGGGGATCTTAAACCATCTCAATCAAATGAATGTCCAATCTTTTCTTGAAAAGCTCCTTGCCATCTTGACTTATTTGACCCACATACAGGCCAACATTGGCTTTTAAACAACTTTTTAGCTGCCTTAAATGGTTTTACATTGGTTCTATGGGGCTCTTAAGCCATTATTTTGTATTTCATGTAATGAAAGGGTGATTGTAGCAAATGCAGCATAGAAAATCCTCATTTTTTTGCTTTTTTCCAGTCTGTTCATGCACCGTGTCCTATATCTTATTTATTTCTTTAGGTTTCTAACTTTATATAAGCTGCCATCTCATAAAACAAGTGAATTTTGTCCTTTCTTTTCTTTTCTTTTCTTTTCTTTTCTTTTCTTTTCTTCTTTCTTCTATGTTTTGTTTTGTTATGCTATTTTTCTATTCTAATCTATTCTACTCTACTCTATTCTGTTCTGTCCTACCTATATCCTACCCTACCCTCTTATTCCATTATATTTTTATTTTATTTTATTTTATTTTCGTACTGTATTTTTATTTCATTTCATTATTTTGTTTTATTTTTTATTTTTTTCACGGAAAAGAATTCCTTATATACAAGTAGCCCTTGACTTAACAATCACAACTGAGCCTAAAGTTTCTGTTAAGCAGTTTCTTGCCACCGTAGTTACGTGAATCCCTGCAGGTGTTAAGTTAGCCCATTCACTTTGCTAGTCAGAACGTTACAAAAAGGGGTCACATGACTACCAAGCCCCTCCCCCAGGACACTGCGACCGTCATAAATAGGAGTCTGTTGCCATACGTCACGTGACCATGGGGATCCTGAAACAGTCGTAAGTGTGAAAAATGGTCCTAAGTCCCCTTTTTTTCCAGAGCCGTTGTAGCATCAAACGGTCGTTAAACGAACCACCGTGTTCCAAGGACTTACCCGTGGTTAATTTTAATTTTTATGGCTAATTTATTCTTTATTTACTGATTAAATTTAGAAAATACCCCTCTTGCCGTCAAGTAACTTAGACTGGCTTGTGTTTGAGTCTGCTTCCGCCAAATTCAAGTCACTGGTTCGAATCCCCACTCCCAGTGTGTGTGTGTGTGTATGTGTCTGTGTGTCTGTGTGTGTCTGTGTGTCAGCCTGCAAACGAATCCCTTGCAAAGATTTATCAGAGTCCTGAAGTTTCGCATTTTTGTCTTGTTCCAGACGTTTGCACTGTACCCGGAACTACATCCACATGCATTTATTTGTCTCCTTCATTCTCCGGGCGATCAGCATCTTTATGAAGGATGGTATCCTGTATTCCGGCTCTGCCATGGAGGAGATGGAGATAATCAAGGAGGAGGAATTCAGATCCATGATGGAAGCTACCCCAATCGATAACTCGACCCTGGTTAGCATCTCCCACTTGTCAAACATCCTTCATGTCCCAGTAAAGGAAGGACGGAAGACTTCCTTGATTGATTTGATATTTTTATTCTGCTTTTATTACTTTATCAATAACTTGTGAGCTTGCCTATTAGGCCTTCCTCCCGCTCCCATTTTCCCCCTAGCAATAACCTTGCAAGGTTGGGCTGAGACTAAGAGAGGGACTGGTCCAAAGTCACCCAGCCGGCTTTCATGCCTAAGGCGAGACTAGAACTCACTAGTTTCTGGTGATTGGCCCAAAGTCACCCAGCTGCGGGACTAGAACTCACCAACTCCTAGTTTAAACAGCCTGTCAAACGTCAAATCTGGTCCGTCTATGATGCCCACAGGAGGACTTATCAATATTGTCAATTAATCCCCCCTTCTCTCCCTTCCTCTCTTTCTCTCCCTCTCTTTCTCTCCCTCTCCCTCCCTCCCTCTCTCTGTCTTTTTCTATTTCTCTCCCTCTCTCTTTCTCTTAGTACTCCTCTCCTTACTCTGCCCAGGTGGGCTGCAAATTAGTCGTGACTCTCTTCCTCTACTTCCTGGCCACCAGTTACTACTGGATCTTGGTGGAAGGCCTCTACCTTCACAGCCTCATATTCATGGCCTTCTTCTCGGAGAAGAAATACCTCTGCGGATTCACGATGTTCGGTTGGGGTGAGTTGGTCTTTCTCACAAGGCTTCCTCCAGAGACTGAAGGATCTCAATGAGCTTCCAGAAGTTGGCCTCTTGGCCATGAGAGGTCTACAAACACCTCCCACTGCTCATCCTTTGGTGTTTTGGGGTAAAAATAAAGAAGGAGAGATAAAGGTGAGCTAGAAAGATGGTTCCAAAATGCGATGACTAGAACATCCACTTGGAAACCCCTATAGATGTTGGTGGAAGGGTGGGGTTTATGGAAATTGTGATATAGCTCTGCTGGGTGAGGAATTCTGGGAATTGAAGTCTACAAGTCTTAAAGTGGCCAAGGTTGGAGACCCCTGGATTAAATCATGATTTAAATAAGATCCTTCCTTCTGGAGAAGATCCACCCATGTGCTGGATAAGAGTCAACACCAACTAGATGGACCTAATCAACCCATTAAAGGTCTTTAGACGTTATTGACAAATATTGACTTTGAAGTTGAATCAAATAGTTCCTGAATTTCTCCTGAACATTTTTGTGGAATTTAGAAGGAGGGAGAATGAGCTCCTAGTGACTTGAGCTATCTTCATGACTTGAGGTATGAATTCCCAGAGATGTTTAAAGTGATGCACAGGTGATGAAGATCTCTCTTCCATCAGCTTCCACATTGTTGGTCATAGTTGATCGTGGAACCACGGGGTCCTTGAGGATCTCTGGGCTTGGTTGTTTTCCTGCAGACATTTCACGACCCAACTAGGTAATTCTATCAGTGCTAATGAGTGGAGGTTCTAGCTTTCAGCACTGTTCATGTTACCTGGTTGGGTCATGAAGCATCTGCAAGAAAACCACCCTGCTCAGAGAGCCCCAAGGACCCCACAGTCCTCTTCCTCTTCCTCCTCCTCTCTGTAAACCCCACTGCCTTCTACACTGAAGATGTTACTTAGTTGGGTCATCTGCAAAAAAAAATCAACAAACTCAGAGAGCAGCAAGGACCCCACAGTTCAACCCCAAACTATAAATATTATCTTCTAGTTTAGCATATATCATCTAGAGGGACATGGCTAGTTAGATGTTTCTTCAACTGAAGACTGGTGGCTACTGGTCAGAGGTTGGCTTTTTATCTAGAGGGCAAATTTCAGAGTTATCCTATTTCTTGGGGAGCTACAGATGGCATGTCAAAAGTCAACTTTTTCTAAAGATCGGCCTGCTCCTGTTCTTCTCCACTTTCTTGAAAAATATGCATCCAGATAAACCAATCACCCTTTTTTTTCTAGACTTTTTACTTTTGCACTAGGGATAAATGGGTTCCCCTTAGAGTTGTTCAGCTAGCGTTGTCCAAAATACCTTCAACATCCCTCCAATGTGGCTCAGAAGGCTCCAGAAGCCACTTGGGTGGAAATGATCTTAGTCTATTTGACCTGGAAAGATCTGACTTCATGGTTTACGTGGCTTTGGAGCTCCCAGACCTGACCTTGAGTTCCTCTATCTTAAATCTTTCAACAAGGTATTCTACAGGAGAAGGTCAGGAGGACATTTTGAAGGTCCCACAAAGGACTCCCAAGTCCCTCAGAACATGTCTGTGGAACCTCCTCAACTCCCTAGACAGGAGAAATGTTTCCATCAAACTTTCTTCTTCTTCTTCTTCTTCTTCTTCTTCTTCTTCTTCTTCTTCTTCTTCTTCTTCTTCTTCTTCTTCTTCTTCTTCTTCTTCTTCTTCTTCTTCTTCTTCTTCTTCTTCTTCTCCTTCTCCTTCTCCTCCTCCTCCTCCTCCTCCTCCTCCTCCTCCTCCTCCTCCTCCTCCTCCT